CTTTATATTTTCTTGTAGCCATCACCTTGGCTCATGTAGGAGATTATTTGCATGTACCAATGGGAGCTATTGGGAGGCGGAGCCAGAGAAACTAGAAGGGAGGGGTGAGTCAGAGTCTGGGAAGTTCAGTCAGTGAGAGACTGAGATGAGAGTCTGAAGAAGTTAGTCTGTGGTAGTTAGAGTGTGTGGCAGAGTTAGGAGTTTAGAGTGGAACTTATAGAGCACTAAGAGAGTTAAGAGTGAAACAAGTTACTAATCTAATGAATACATTAAAGTCTGTGAAGAACCTGTTTAAGTCAACTGTAATCAATAAACCTGTGTTGTTCAACTTTATACTCAGCTTCGACCTCAATCTTTCTAATTAAAGGATGTTGACAGAGGTCAGCTGATGGCAGCAGAAAGGAGAGAACGTGTTGTGGGCCTCAGGCTAGTGAAACAACCTGAGGATGTAGTGGCTCGTCACAGTTCTTCTACAGAGAGATGTATAACCTCTGTAAATAAATGTTTTCCTAAACGAAGCTTTCAAAAAATTTATTTCAAGAAACAAGGGTCTCTTTGTGAAAGCTCTGATACCTTCCCTAGACAAAGCCCTGCCTTCGTGTATACTTAATAATTCCTGTTAGTTGTCTACCTGTGGTTTGGATATGAGGTAGCACCAAGCTATGGCTTAGTGTTATGTGCACAAGCCAGAGCAAGTTTTGGGCTTGCACACTCTCCCCTCTCTCTCCTCCTCTGGTGTTCTCTAAAAGAAGAAAGCCAAAGCATCTGTAGAAAACTCCAGTTTTACACTGTAAAATGTCACTGTGAAAATGCTTAGGAAGTTCTGTGAGGGTGGCATGTGGTTTAAGCAATGAGGTGCCTTTCTTGAACCTGCACATGAGTAATGCATGTAAATAACTGCGTGGTTTCTCCCCCGCCTCCGTGATGGAAGCCTTAGACTTTTTTTTTCCATTTCAGGTTAATTCAGAATTCTACACTGGCTGGTTGGATCACTGGGGTCATAAACATTTTACTATACCATCATCAATTGTAGCTAAAAGTCTTAATGAGATCCTCGCAAGTGGTGCAAATGTTAACATGTACGTTCATCAGCATCTGTTCAAATGAGACCACAACCATTTCTGGTGCAGTATCCTTGAGTGTATGTGCTTCCTCTTTTCAGGTACATGTTCATAGGAGGGACTAATTTTGGCTATTGGAATGGTAAGAACTCTATGTAGTTGGCTTAACTTACTTAACATTCAATTAAACAGTTTTAATACTTTAAATATTATGACTGTTTCTGTTAGGAAGAAGGGGGAAGCATATGAGGATAATTTTGAAGCAGGTAGAAATAAGGTCCTATTACTCTCTGAAACTGAGGACAAAGTATCAGTTGAAACTGCTGTTAAATGCAGAAACATTACTAGCTGGGAAGCTATGATGTGAAGTTGAGCATTCAGGGTTACAGCATGAGACAAACAAAGCATAGGAACAGTGAGAGAAGCTAGTTCCATATTTCATGCCAGGATGACTGAGGGAAATTCTAGAAACTAGAAATTCATATTAATACCAAGGATTTAGACTTGTGTGGGATACCTGGCATTAGTAATTCCTAGCTGGCCAAGTGCGTGAGGGGGGAAAATGCTTCAGGTTAGAATGCTCTCTTTAGGTTGTTATTGAGTATTCTTACAGTGAAAGAGATAGCTTTGTTCATTGTTGAAAGAGCAGGTGTTGTAGTCTGTGGAGCCCCTTATGAATCAGAAGTGTCACTGAAGTGCCATATATCTCTGTATTTTTAAGTAGTTAACAAAGATGTTCAGAATAGAGAAAGAACAATTTAAAATCTATGAGATGTTGTACTATTTATATTCCTTTCTCCTTATAGGAGCAAATATGCCTTATTTGGCACAGCCTACTAGCTATGATTATGATGCCCCACTGAGTGAAGCAGGAGATCTCACAGAGAAGTATTTTGCTATCAGGGAAGTCATTAGCATGGTGAGTTCCATCTAAAGCATTTTTGGTGTATCTTGTCTTGCGCTAATCTTGGTTTTCAATATACAATGGAATTGAAAAACTGCTGCTAGGTGCCTCTGAGCTCTGTTGCAGTATGTTTCAGTTGAGCAAAATTACTCAGAAAGTAACTAGGTACAATAACTAGTTGTTCGCAATTAATTTTTTTCAATAACAAAGGTGTAACTAAGTTATATTATGATTGTAACATAATGGCTGAAATCCTGTTGCTTAGCACAGTAAGTCACAATAGCATAGGCCTATTGAATCTGGGGGTATCTGGTGAGTCAACTCCTCAAGTTCCATTGATTCAATTAGGCCAACTCTAGTTGCAACTTATGCTAAAATAAGGGTGTGGTTACACTGCATATTTGTATCGGTTTCAGCTCCATTGTATGTCCTTCTCCCCCTGTATAAAAGAAGCATGTTTGCATACCATGTTTTCAATGTTGTGTAATATTTCTTCAGTTAAATTTGGTTAAAGGATGTCAAATTAAAAAGCCCTGGTGGCCTCTTCAAAAAGACTCAGTTTGTAGTCAAAAGGAAACAGGTTTTACTGTGCATCATTTAGCCAGGATTTTTAAAATCTATTTAGTAAGTAACTAAAGTAGTAAGCAACTAAACTAAGCCCTTTGAATCAAGGGAACTTACAGAGGGCTAGACTCACTAAATCACCATTGATTCAGTGGGCCTATTGTAATGCCATTTATAACGCTAAGCAACAGGATTTGGGCCATTGTGGTGTATAATTCTTAGTAATATAAGTCAGTTTGATCAGACTTAGGTGTCCACAATAAACTGTTTTATGCATGTTTGTCTTACAATTGTAGAAAATCTAGAGTCTGAAAGAGCATTTCACTGAATCTTTTAATCTTTAGTTTTTGTAATATTGGTTGCCTAGACAGCTTGGTTCTCAGCATTACTGTGGGTTGTCAAATAAATCTGCAACTCTGTAAATCCAGTTATCATAACATGTCTTGTAGCAAAGAACTTTTTCTGGTAGATAGATTGTATCGTGAGGCATGAATAAGCCAAGTGATAAGCTGGGTGGAACAAATTTGGCATTCCACTTCTGTCACATTCCAGGTCTCTCTGTTAAAATAACAGTTGTGATATTTTGAGTGCCTGGTTTTTAATCGCCAGTGTTAATAATACAGTGGTGCCCCGTATAGCGAGGTTAATCCGTTCCGGATTAACCCTCGCTATACGGAATCATCGCTAAGCGGGTAGGGGAAACGTATTGAAACGCATTAAACTTCGTTTAATGCGTTCCAATACCTTTGTTACTTACCCGTTCAGTGAGGATTCTAGGTGCCGGCAGCCATTTTCGCGCCTTCGCTAAGCGAGGGCAGGGCGCGAAAACGGCTGCCGGCAGCCATTTCCGGGCTTCCGGTGGCCATTTTGGAACCGCCGATCAGCTGTTCGGCGGCTCCAAAATGGCCGCCGCAATACCCGATCTTCGCAATGCGGGTTTTCCCCATTGCGAAGATCGGGTATGTTTCCGTATAGCGATCCCGAAAAAGGGATCGCTATACGGAAACATCGCTATACGGTGCACTCGTTAAGCAAGGCACCACTGTATTATAGTCATTTCCTGCATTTCATTTCCATACTGTTTGCCCTCCACAACATTCTACACTATGCCATGCTCTGCTCTGCTCTGCTACACAAACACATGCACACATACACATCTATCTCTTGATTGAGCGATCTCTCTCTCTCTCTCTCTCTTGTGTGTTATGTACAGTGGTGCCTCACTTGATAACGTTAATCCATTCCAGCAAAATCACTGTAGAGCGAAATTGTCGTCAAGCGAAATAAAAAAGCCCATTGAAATGCATTGAAAACTGTTCAATGAGTTCCAATGGGTGAAATACCTGCTCGTCCATCGAAGATCCTCCATAGGGCGGCCATTTTCTGCTCCCTGTATAGCGAAAAATCCGTCCTAAAAACAGCGGGGAGCCATTTTGCACAGTGGACAGCCATTTTGGAAACCTGACGATCAGCTGTTTTGATTGTCGTAAAGCAAAAAATCGGTTCCCAAAGCAAGGAACCAATCATCGTAAAGCGTTATTTTCCTATTAGAACATCATTTTGCGATCACAAAAGCGATCACAAAAACCTAATCGTCAAGCGGATTCTTTGTTTAACAAGGTAATCGTCAAGCGAGGCTCCACTATATGTATATGTGTGTGTATTTGTGTGTGTATGGAGCTGTAAAATGGTTCATGCATCTGAGAAATAAATTGGAATGCACAAAATTTTATGCTAAAATAAATCTACTAGGCTTCAAGGTGTCACAGCACTCTTTATAGATTGAAGTGATGTTGTTATCTCCTTTTTTACCTGAGAATATGGGCAATGAATGGCAAAGACTGTGATTTTGTTTTTGTGTTGTTGTCTTAGTACAAGGAAATACCAGAAGGCCCTGTACCTCCAACAACCCCCAAATTTGCTTATGGAGACATTCCTTTGGTTAAGGTAAATGAACAATATTTTGCAGTAGATGAATTTGCTTGTGCATACAGTGTGTGGTTCTGCTAGTTTTCACAAAACATAGAAGTACCAATTTACTTTATCAGCAAATTGTAAATATTTTAGAACTCTGTGAAGGTCTGATTTTTGAGCTTAGAATGGGCATCTGTAGCTTTGTCAATTAAACTGAGTAAATTCATTAAGATTTTTTTCTGGTGTGCTTTATAATAAACAGTTGAAAAACATTATAAAAGAACTGTACATATCCCATTAGATCATGGATGGGGAAAGTTTGGCATGCAGACCCCAGGGTTGTTGTTTGCAGCCACAGAATTCTTCCCCCACTGAAAATAAATTCTGTTTATGGATCCTAGCAGCCTTCAGGTATAGACGTTTTCTTGTAAAATGTACTCAAGACCCCTAATCCTTCCAAAACCCATAAAAAGGAATCCAGAAATGTGCTTCCAGGTAACAGTCATCCTTGATTTTTTTTTAATGTTTTGCTCATTTGGGGGATGATGTGGTGTCTATCCCTGCATTAGATGTTACAATGTCAATGTCTTTAAAATAATTCTTGAAAGAGGCACATCTTCTAGATTTTGGAAAGATAAACATGTATACAAACTGCAAGGATGGTTATAAAGTGCTCAGATTTTTTTAATCTTATGCACTTATTGGATTAACACTCTATGGAACCAACTGGTAGTGGATTTTAGCCTAATTAAATGTGAAATGAGCACTAATATGCAAAATAACTAAATTTTTCCTTTTTCATATATAATGCACTATACTTCATATACCAGTATTGATGGAGCTGTTTTTGATTATGAGGATGGTGATTTATTGTTATTATATATGCTTTTTAAAAATCTTTAAGCAGATCTCTTACCAGGGTAATAATTTTGAAATGCTGTTTTCTTCTGTGTATTCACTTCAGTTACAAATTATAGCTTGTCATTGCTGCATTATAGGTGGGTGCTGTGAGGGAACTTTTAAATGACTTATCACCATCTGGACCAATTAAAAGCATGTACCCTTTAAAATTTGTTCAAGTGAAACAGGTAAGCATGTGTTCTAGAAGAGTGTTGAGTCAGCATTTTTATCATTTATTAAATTACTATGTTAAGTATAATAATTCATCTAAATAAAAACTGATTATTTACATCACTTGTGAATTTGGCTTGTTGTTTCATCCTGCACTATAGTTTTTTTCAGTCAAGGTTGTAAATACATTGAGAAGACCTGGTTCTGTTGTATCCTCTGTGCCCTCCACAAAGAGTGAGAGATTAAACTCTGATAAGCATAGCTTTTGGATGGACTGAAGGGAGAAATACGAAAGTGGGGTGTGTTGTTGTTGCAGAAGGGATTGATGATGCAAGTGTGAGTGCCTTGAGAACAAGGATAGAGCCCTAAACAGCTTGGGACTGGGATACTTGAGGGAACACTTCTTCCTATATACACCTGACTCATCACTAAGATCTGCTGAAGTGGGACCTCCTCGGTGTCCAACCATGGAGAAGGATCCACTATCTGGAGACATGCTGGGGGTTTTCTCAACTGTACCATCTCAGCTATGGCATGCTCTTTGCTTAGAATCACACTGACACTAACCTCATTTTAGCACCAAGTTAAAACATGATTGAACAAGGCTGTGGAAGTTTTTTTTTACTTATTTAAAAAAAGTAATGGTGTTAAAGTATTCAGTTGTTTTAAATTATTTTTATTGTACTCCACCCTGAGATCTCAGGATATAGGGAAGAAAGCAAACAAACAAATAAACATTAACGGACCAAATGAACAAGAATTTGGAGGTTGGGAGACAGGATTCTAATCAGTGTACTTTTCTGGGCCTGGAAGGTAACATTAATTACCAAGAGGGAAGACTAGATATGAGGAATAGACAGTTACGGTATCTCAAGAGAGAAGCAGAATGAGGCAACCTCACCTAGAAGCAGATTTCGGGTGTCATAAAATGGCAGAAAATTGTTAGTTACTTTATTTGTACTTCATCTTCTGTAAAGAGGATCAAACAACAAGAAGTTTATATGCAAAGTACCCTCTACCTGTATAATTGTCTTATATTACTTCATTAGATAAACCTTTGTAGTGCCATCTTTATGGTTAGATAAACATGAACACAAAAACTGAAAATGAAACAGTTTTCACTTAAATTACTGTGCGGAAATATGGCTGCACAGGGGATGAACAAAATAATTGAACATTATGCACCTGTTGGCCATAATTCCATTGGAGATTTCAGCATAAGTGTAACTATATAAATTGTGGTAATGGATTGCTTTTAATTAATGCTGCTGTCATCCCTAGTTAAGTGACCAGGAATGCAACTTGCATCTTATTAATTAGTGGCAATTTGCCACAATGATTTATACATACATAATAGTGTAAATTCCCAGTAAGATTCTGGCTAATGTTTCTACTTTTGTTAACCTGAATTTTTAAAACCAACATATTTTACTATGTAGCGTATGAAATATTTATATTAAAGTTGGGAATGTTCTGTTGTCTGTTTTCTCATTTGTTTCTGATTTGTCAGAGCAAAATTTTCTCCACCTGGCATTCTCCTCTCTTTTTTCTTCCAGTACTTTGGGTTTGTATTGTATAGAACGAAGTTACCAAGAAACTGTAGTGAGGAAACTCCACTCTCTTCAATGTTTGATGGAATTCATGATCGTGCTTATGTCTCTGTGGATGGGGTAAGGGTCAAGATGTCAGAACCTCCAGTTTTCTTGCTCTTATTACTGGGGGCCGTTTTGCTCTGCTTGGCTTTTCTCCTCCAGACATTTTGGAGGGCATGACTGATCCACCATTCCCTTGTTGTGGTGCATGAGTTACTCCCACCCACCTCTGTGACCTTGATGAAGAACAATATATATATTTCACCTGTCTTCTTCCTCGATAGGGTGGGAAACTGCTGGCCAGCAGTGATTACTCATGTGTCCACAAGGCCCCATGCCTTCCCCCGAAACGCTGAACATGTACTGCAGAAAAGTCAGCAATCAGAGGTCAAAGCTTGAGCTTCCTACTGCTTAGTGCTTCAGAGATCTTTCAGAGTTTTTCTGAAGCAGCTGAACTGGAAACTGATGGTGAAGGGGACAGGCTTCAGTGGAATGGAGAAGAGGGCTTCACAAGAGAGAGAGAGAGACATGCCTTTTGATGGCATCCCATTCCCTTGGAGTACCTGAGTGTGGGAATCTGGCCGCCGAATAGCCACCACCACTCCCACTCTTGTGGCTGGGTCTGGAGAAGGACAGAGTATTGTCATCAGAGTTGCACATCTAAATTTATTTATTTATTTATTTATTTATTTATTTATTTATTTATTTATTTATTTAATATCCCGCCTATCTGGTCATGTCAGGATTGCTACAAAAGAAATAACTTGTAACATAACAGGAACAAACCCTAGCTTTCCTCTCAAGCTTGAAGCTAGAAATCATTTCCACACTTGAGTTGTGCTATCATGTTGCTTAGAGAGCCTTAGAAGCACCAATCAGCTGGTGGTGGGACAAAGAATCCTTGTTGCAAAACTAGGAGGATGGCAAGGGCTTGCTGTCCTCCTACCGTGCTTCTGAGGGACTTGAAGTACCTTGGAAATGCAGCATGACTGATCGCTTGGTGTTGCCCTTCTCACTTGGGCCCACCTGGTAGTCAAGGAGGAGAGCCCACTGTGGCATTCGCCCTTGTGGCACCTGCATGTTTTGCCCTCCCAAAGGCTCCCATCACATTTTCCTCTCGCTGCCACCAGTGGATTACCTCAATCCACAATATAAATGATGTTGGTCAGGACACTTGTCTTGTGAACACAAACAGAACTTATTTATTGACATGAAGCAGATTGAATAATAACAGAAGTCCTTCAGATACACATTATACACAAGCAAATCATTAACAGTTCTTTCAGTACATACTTCTTTTGCTATATCATTGCCACCTTCTCTACCTATTTTCTTAACCAGCTTTATCTCTCAGTATTTGTTCCCCCTCTCTCTGACTAACCAGTCCTTCTTCATAGTGGCCTCTGTGAATTCACACAAATGGGTTTATTCTGTACCTGTGCAGGACGTTTAGAAGAATTTAGTTCCCCCTCCAGGGCGCGAGCTCCACCTCCTCAACCTTCCTTTCAGTTCCTTTTTTTCGCCTTTAGGATAGGATGTAAGGAACAGTAGAGTGATTAAGGAAAGTGATTATAGCTTTTTAATATTCCTAATTTAATTTATTTCTGACATTATTGTTTCTTTATAGCAATAGAATCACTCTACATTCTTTCACTGTTTTTTTCCTCCCACCGCCCGGATTCCCTCTCCTTTATTTTGCTCCTTGTTTCCCCTGTTTATGGCCCCTTGCGGTTTTAAGAAGTGCTCCGTTTGTCTTCAGAAAATTCCTTTGACTGACGGACACGATTTGTGCTTCTTTTGCCTGGGGGAATCCCATCAGACCCAGTCGTGTTTCGCATGCAGAAGCTTCTCTAAACAAGCTATTAAGCTAAGACTGCAACGTCTAAGGTCCTTTCTCTATGAAAAGACCCTTAATCCCGGCATGGAAGGGCAACCTATTCCTTCTCTCCCCCCCCCCCACGATCGGAGGTTGCAAAGTCTGCCCCTAGCCCAGCTGCACAATCTTTGTCTAGCAAGACTTCTTTAACTTACCAAGTCCAAGAACTCTCAAAAATCAGCCACATCTTTCTCCTCTAAGGCCAGCTGAATCTGCAAAAAAGAGAAAAGATAAAGAGAAAATTAAAAAACAAAAGACAACCGTTAAACCGGCCATTACTCCTCTCCCTCCAGCTCCAGTGCATTTGGAGGAATCTTCAAGAGACGTGCCATTCCTCCAGCTCAAACACCTCATGCTTTGCTCAGCTTCTCTCCAAGTTCAGGCTATGGTGAGGCTGATGCACCATCCAGCCTGACTGTAGCCCATTCTAGCCCTCCATCCTCAGGGCGGGCAGATACCGATGCCGAATCTGAGCAGGAGTCCGCTATATGCACTCCAAAAAAGAGAACAGAGAAACAAAGGCATATTTCTCCATACCAACCATGGGGCCATGAGGGCCAATACCACCATCCCGAGGAGTCGCCACAATACAGCTATCCTTATGATCGATACCAGCCATACCCGTACCATGGCTACGCATACCAAGAGGAACACAGGAGATTTAATTATCCACCACCACCTTGGTACCCTTCCATGCCACCTCTGCCGGAAGCCCGTACTTGACATTGAGGGGATGTTCCTATCCCCCAAGTCAAGCCATCATGAAAGAGAACTATGGTACCAGAAACCATAGTACTGGGTAAACGCCTTAAGCACAGCAAACAACGTCCTACAGTAGACACAACCACGCTTTACTTTGGCCGCCAGGCGCCTGATATTGAGCCTTTCTCGGCATCCACACAGTCGGATGTCGAACCCCACCCTAGGGTTCGCGTGAAAAGTTTCCACCATTCACCTTCGAGGTCCTCTGTTTCTTCCAATAAGGAAGGCTCATCCTCGTCAGGGGCATCCGACACTCAACATCCCCCAGAGGATATCATGAACAGTCACCCCTTTTCATCTTCAGAAGACTACATATCTTACACCCAAGTCATACTGCATATGGCGAGGACCGTGCAACTCAATGCTCAGTTATCAGGGAGGAGGAGCTTCGTCTTGGTGAAGCTAGCAGCTCTCGGGAATAGCTCCCGGGGAAAGCTAGAACCACTTCGGTCTGGGACCCTTCCAGAAATGGGGGGGGGGCAAGGAAGAGTCAGGAGAGACCCTTCTGCAGCAGCTGGTGAGCCACAGAAGTTAGAAGATTGGGCAGCAACTCGATTTGTCTTTCTTCTGGAAATTCACATCAGCACAGACGAAGATGGGCGCCATTTTTGGCAACTAGCCAAAGACAGCTCCGTTCGCCGAGAATAAGAAAACAGAAGCACGGCGAAAGTATACATCAAAGTAAGTGGAAGCCCTTGTTCTATGAAAAACCTCATTAAATGAAGAACAAGTGATTGTGTGCAAATTTATGACCAAATGAGATAAGGAGCGGCATTCCTAGCATTCCAGCTTTACCCAAGCTGAAGGTCG